ATTTTCTGTGAAATGGAAATAAAACAGGAGCCGACAGTCAAACAAGAAACAGAAAATGACGACTGCATTGTGACGGTGTCACGATCATCATACACGGTCAACAGTGTGATACATGAAAACTCGATTGGTGACGAGCAAATGGGTAGCACCGACGATTGCATTGATTTTCACCATTTGTCTCAAGTGAAATGGAAAGTAAAGATTAAGGAAGAGGTGAATCAAGTTGCTATTAAAAAAGGTGACAAAAATCACCAACCACAAAACAGTCCGATGTCGAATAAATTGAATGGTGGTGATGGTGGTGCAGTCGGCAAGAAGGACAAAGTGAACAATGCTCGTGACGAGAAGAAGCCACCTGAAGGCAAGGCAACTGGAAAGCGACACAAGTGTTCATTGTGCGAGTATGTCACTAATTTTGTCAGTCGTTTTAATCAGCACATGCTCAAGCATACTGGCGAACGACCATTTCCATGCCACGTGTGCCCGAAACGATTCATCCAAAAACATTGCCTACAATCGCACATGAAAGCACACGTCGATGAATTTCTGTTCAGTTGTTCAACTTGTTTGCAAGGATTTCATCGAAGCGAGGAGAAGGTGGAACATGAATCTGGTTGTAAGGTGCGTCGCTACGAGTGTCATCTGTGCAAGAAATACTCTACTTTGCAAAAGTCGAATTTGGAAGTTCATCTGCGCGTGCATACCGGTGAGAGGCCATTCGAATGCGACCATTGCTCAATGAAATTCAACCACTCAAAAACTTTGAAATGCCATCTCAAAACCCACACCAGTCTTCATCCATTAAAATTCAAGTGTTCAACTTGCTTCAAGATCTTTGCACAACAAATGGAAAAAGAAAGTCACGAAGTCAATTTCAAGCGACGCGGATTCGAATGTGATCTTTGTAAGACGTACACAACTGATCATAAAGGACATTTGATGAACCACATGCGAATCCACACTGGTAAAAAGCCATTCCGATGTGAAACATGCTCGAAGTGCTTCTCGCAAAAGGCAAATCTCAACAGACACAAGAAAATGCACAAGTAGCTCTCCGCTGCAATTAAAATTTAACACATCGAATAAAACAACTCGTGTTCAAACAAATTGCTTTGAATAAAAATAAACACAAGGATGTATTAAGCATAAAATCTGGTCTTATTATTTAAAAATTCCCGATGCATTGTGTTGATTATGAAGCTGAAACCCAAATAAATATTTTCCTTTTTGTCAATCACATCTAATAGCTGTCACCTACAGATAATGCTGGCCTCCGCAAAAATAACATTTGAATCTGTTGCACATTTCTGTTGTA